ACGAGTTAGCCAACGGGTTGCAGAACACGAATCAAGCAGCACTCACCGCAGGCCAGTTATTGATTACATTTGTATAATGAATAATCAAGACTTCGACAGATTTTATAGTACAGCAATAAAGAAATATAATGATGAAGTACTGATACGGAAACAAATACTTTCTCGAGTTATTGATACCATTAAACATTTATGTAAGCAAGCATTGCCATTTCGAGGTCATAGGAGTGAAGGTGCTTATTCGTTGGACAATGATGTAGAAAATCATGGAAATTTTTTGGCTTTGGTACAGCTCTTGGCCAAATATGACCCACTTTTAGCTTCTCATCTCTTCATGTGTCAAGGAAAATCAACCAAAAGAATAGAAAAACTGAAGCGTCAAGGTAAAGCCGGCAGTAAAGGTCGCGTTTATATATATATATATATATATATTTTTTGGTTACGTTTTTAAGTAAGACTAATATATCAAAGCTTCTCAATATTATGAAAAATATGATGCAGGAACAGATTGCAATGGAAGTATCCAAAGCAAAAGTGTACTCCGTACAAGTTAATTCTACACAAGATATATCTGCAATTGACCAATTCAGCATTGTGGTTCGCTATGTTTTAAATGCTACTGTGCATGAACGGCTGCTTTCTATTGTACCAAGCAATGGCGGTACTGGCCAAGGCTTGTTCGATCTCTTAAATTTGACGCTACAGCGGCTTGGCTTTAACTTGAAATACTGCCTATCGGACAGCACTGATGGTGCTTCAAGTTATCATGGCCAGTACAATGGACTGCAACAAAAGATTACAGAAGCTGCAGACCACCATGTACATATTTGGTGTTATGCTCATGTTCTCAACTTAGTTGTGAAGGAGGCAACCAGTTGCTGCATTCAGGCAGTTTCATTTTTTACCCTTTTGCAAAATGTTTCAACATTCATAAAAGTGTCATATAAGCGAATGGCAACATGGATTAAACTTGTTAAAACACAAATTGGAATGGATAAGATGAAAAGATTGATTGGTGAAACAAGGTGGTCGGGTAAATCAAATACTGCAACAGCGATATTTGGAACATTTGCTGAGCCATCTTCAACAGTGTTTGTCAATTCAATTTTATGTCTGTCATGTATAAGAGAATCAGAAAATTTTGATAAAAAGACACGTCATGAAGCTAAGACATTGCTCATGCCATTCCTGAAATTTGACACCATTTTGACTGTCTTTACCTTCCTGCGAGTTTTTGAAAAAGTGGGACCACTTTCAATATACCTGCAAACTCGTGGATTAAATGTGTTGGTTGCATTCAAGATGGTGGAGAAGGCCGTAGTTGAATTGAAAAGTCAATCAAGACTTTTTGACGGTTTTCATAATGACGCTCTTCAATTTGTACGGATGGCAAATGCAAGCATCATTCAGAGAACTGAAACCATATTAGAGGTAAAAATAGAACTACCAGCTAAACGGAAGCGGAAGACACCAACGATGTTAGATGAACATACAGTAGACGAACGTTACGAATCTAAAGCTTTGGAACATTGCAAAATTCATACTTTCAATGTGGTGATGGATCAGGTAGTCCAAAGTCTTGAGTCACGTTTCACTTCACATCGACAATTATATATTGACATGGTATGTTTTGATACATCAAACTTTGGTGATCCTGCCATTTTGGGAATTCCTGAAAACAGTTTACACAGCATTATCAAATTTTTACCAGATGCCGACGTTGATAAAATAAAGACCGAATTGTTATCATTTGTCACTAACTATGAGATTTTGAAATTGTCCTTGCCCTTAACAACAACATTGAGAGAGAATGCATATCAAAAGGATGACATAGAAGAACCGCTCTGTTATCAGCATACAAATGGAGCATGCGGATCGTGTCCATTTTGTATGTTACGAACTCTTGCTGCATATAGACTCAACGACAAAACCTAATATATATATATATATATATATATATCTGTATATATCAATATCTCTATCTATATGTCAATCTCTCTCTCTCTCTCTCTCTCTCTCTCTCTCTCTCTCTACATTATGCGGTATTTTAATTTTAAAAAAAGCTGCTCATAAGTTTAGCAGACTCTTCTTAAAGCTTTTAAGGAGAACTTTTATAAATTTGTTGCAGTAAAAGTTGCAATATAGTAAAATGACCTATTTTTTTTAGAAAATATTTCAAAAATATATTTGTAAATAGTATGAAATATTTTTGAAGTTTATTTTAAATTAATTTATCTTTTTTTGCCCAATTCGAGATTATAATCACTTTATATTATTGCTTAACTTAATGCTTCTGCTGCCCATTTGTGCGCGTTTACACGGACTTTTCTACCTTACTTGGCCGAGTCTATACCATACTTGGCTTTTCAGTTTTATTATAAAGAGAATTTAGAAATGAAATTTCCCGTTCAAAGAAAAACAACAAATCAAGAAATCAAGTAGCATTTTATTGACCTTAATATGGGAGGTCACTCTAGCATTTAAATATCTCGAATTATAAAAT